GGCCAGATTAAGTATATATTTTTAAATGAAAAAAATGGCTTAAATGCTATCATTGAGTTCGATATTATGGTTCAAAACCCCTGACATAATCAGCCCTCACTAAACAAGGTAATAACTGAAAGCAATAGACAAAGATTGATGCAAAAAAATCTTTCACCCCTTATGAAAGTTTAAAAAAAGTTTGCATTAATAGTAATCTGCTTTCTTTCCCCACCAGCTTGGACAGGGAATTATGTATGACATAGTCATGTGAATGCCTTAAACTTTAACATAATACATGGAATAAAGTATTAGCATTAGTTGAATGCTTATATATACAATTTCTCTCAAGCTTTTATATTATACCAAATATAATTTTTATAATACGACTAACTCGATTTTTTATTGTTAAACAGAATCATAAGAAAATGAACTAGATAAGATCATGTCAGAGACAAGACTGAAATGACAAAAACCGTCTTAGCCCAAATTGAATATGTTTTCAAGAAGACTTAAAATTTCTTAGTACACATAGGTCTTTCTCAATTATTAATGATTAGTGTTTCTTTTCTTGTGGTAAGTCCTTTGGTCACATTTTAATGCTCTAGTCAGCATCATCCTAGAAATTTGAAAGGAAGTGGTGATCACATTGAAATCACTGAACATCAGACCTGAACCACAATAGCTCAATTCTCAGGACCACGCTCACTCTTTAAAGACATTTACGTTTGATTAAAATATTATATTACCAAGGAGGAACAGCACATCATTTAATTATGGGAGACGTTGGGTTGTACCAGCCCTTGCTTAACCGGCACTTACAGTATCACAGACAGAGACTAAAACAGAAACTACACACACAGTAAAGGCCTTCGTAGACAAAATATGTCCATTTATCAAATTTGCCTACGGAAATTTACTGTGACCCACAGTCATTTTATAATTGTTTGCCAGAAAAAAACAAATCTCCCTCCCGAGAATAATGCTAGGTCATTAGATTGTTTATACACTCTAGCATCTATTGAGATTTATTGAAAGCCTAATAATACATACTATACATGT